GATATAATTTCAGCCTTAATTTGCACAACTCACCTGAGGGTGAGGTGGGCTCAGGCTGGGCTGTAAAGGAGTAAAGTAAAGGAGTAAAGTAACGGAATAAAGTAAAGGAATTAAATAAAGGAGTTCTGAATGATGGTGGGTCACCAGTGCCACTCCTGGAAGACAGGGATCACTGGGGATCCTTTGGGATTGACATCCTCATACCAGCACCAGGATCAAACAGGAAAGGCAGGGGAATTGCACAGGGAAAGGGGAGAGCACCATGCTTGGGAAACCTCCCTCTCCGAACTGAGTAGTTTTGTTTATGTAATTAAAATTTCAGCTGGCCAGGCTCTTGGAAGGAGGAAGCTCTGGAAGTCCCGCAGGATTGCAGGGCAGAGGAGGCTCCTGGGGCTGCAGGGAAGGGCAGAGGAGGCTCCTGAGGTGGCCAAGGAAAGGCAGAGGAGGCTCCTGGGGCTGCAGGGAAGGGCAGAGGAGGCTCCTGGGGCTGCAGGGAAGGGCAGAGGAGGCTCCTGGGGCTGCAGGGAAGGGCAGAGGAGGCAGTGCCGGAGCCTTTGCCCGCAGAGGGTGCACGAACTGCGCTGCCGAGCCGCCGCTCCCGTCTCAGCCCATCCCTCGGCTGCGCTTGGAAGCCCAGCAGAAGCAGAAGAAAAAAACAAGGCAAAAGAACCAAGCCTCTGATGAAACTGGAAAGTAACTAACTTAAACAGGGAAATAAATGAGAAAATTCGTGTCTTTTGGCATTTCTGGTCTGACTGGCCTCTGGCTCGCCCAGCCCTGAGCATGGCTGTGTGCCAGCGGTGCAGCCCAGCCGTGCTTGGAGCTGTCACTCGCAGTGTCCCTCTTGCTGTCGCTGGAGCTGGCACTGCCCAGGTGTCCCTGCAGCTCCTGCCTGGCACGGCTGCTTACCTCAGCCCCCCATCGAGAGCCCTCAATGGCAAGGGGTGGGTCGGGCTGGGGCTGGTGCTGAGGCTGCTTGGTGGCATTAAAACCAGACTCCTGAGAGGGGGGTGATGGAGGAGTCCCCTGCTGGTGTGAGCCACCTCGCCATCAAGTTCTGCCAGCCCCAATCCATGCCCTGTGAATGGTAAATGTTCAGGGCATTTCCCTGTCACAGCTCTCCCTCCCTCTGTGCCTGGAGGTGACAGCCAAATCCATGCCCTGCGAATGGTAAATGTCCCAGGGCATTTCCCTGTCACAGCTCTCCCTCCCTCTGTGCCTGGAGGTGACAGCCACTCACAGCCGTGTCACAGGGCCAGTGGTGCTGGTCCCTGTGCACCCTCACACAGCCACAGGGAGTGGTGTGCTGTCCCAGAGATCTCAGGGCACGATTCTGTCCCGTGTGCCATGTTCACAGCTTATTTTAATGGATGTGGAGTGGGGGTCTTGTGAGACGTGAGCACGGAGTGTAGGAACCACTCAGCCTGAGATTTTCTCTGCTCGTTTGAGGAGACTATACACTAGCAGATAAAAGGCAGCAATAAATTTCCCATCGGCTATTTTGGGATGCAAATTACAGTTATCTCATGCAAAATCCAAGCAGAAACGATTCACTCTGCTGCTGCAATTGCCTTGCTCCGGGAGGTCTGTGCTCCACGCTATTCACAGGGAATTGTTTAACAAGACCCATTTACTTTGCAGCAGGTTGTTTTCATGGTGCTCCTTTATTTTTCCACAGCCTGCTCCCAATTGTGGATAATTTATTGGCAAGTGTCCTGAACAGACTTCTTCCTAATCTGGTAAGTCAGAAAAATAAAACGTTCCAGGAAGGAGCAGTGAGTCTGAAAAGATGTGGTGCAGATCCCAGCGGCATCACTGGCGCCTGGAGCAGGAGCAGAGCCACTGTCCCAGGGCTGCTGCATGCACCCAGTACCTTGGGATCAGTGGCACACACATTCCATGGCTCCACCAGCTTGGGAGAAGCTTCTCCTTCCTTCCCAATGCGAGGTCTGCCCAGATGCCGAGATCTCCTAATGATGTCCTGGACTGGGCTATGGTCTCATGGAATCCCTCCTCCTCCTGAACGCCCCAGGGTGTTTCTAGCCATCCCCCTTGGGCTCCTGGGTCTCCTCCCTTTTTGAGGAAAGAGAGGGTCAGACCCAGAGCAGGGCTACCATTCCAGGTGCCCAGTGCTCCCATGCCCAGGGAGAGCCTGGCAGAGCCAAGCAGGGCTGTGTGTCCTTCCCTGGCTCTGAACGTGGGTTCTCACTGACCTTCCCCAACTCTTGCAGCTCTTCCCAGTGCTCAGCATTGCCCTGGGACTTATCAGTGACCAGCTGGGACTCCTGAACTGTGAGCACACGGTGGGTCCCTCGCCTTGTCCTGCCTTGTGCCGTGTGTCACCCACTCCAGCTGAGGGAGGACTGGGACACCTTTCCCTCCCCTGCTCCACCCTGCCCCAGATCTGCCAGGAGCAGGGGTCTGCAGGAGCTCCCTGCCCAGAGCCCACTTGAAAGCCAGGCTCTTCTGGATGAAAAGGAACTTCATGTAGGGGAGGGGGATTTGCAGCTGAGTCCAGCAAGGAGCTGCTGATCCCTTCCTCTTCCCCCAGCACTGGTGTCCCTGGATTTGCTGGGCAGGATCCAGTACACCATTCCCAGCCTTCCCCTGGTAACTGGCCAGTTCTCGAGGTGGACTTGAATGTGATTCCTGCATCTTCTCCTTCCATCTGTGCACAGGGCTTGGGATATTTCCCTTAGCTTCATCAAGGTCTCCTTCAGCCATGTGCAGCTGGGCAGGGGGCTGTGGAAGCTGGCAGAGGTCCTGGCTTCGTGCCTTGTGCTCACCTCTGTCATGGGAGAGCACAGCAGGGTTTAGGTTTCACAAACTTTTGGAGAAGGAAGTGTCACGGGCCCTGCCTGGTGAGGCCGTGCGTGCAGCCATTCCGCAGCGAGGGAACGTCAAGCTGACCGTAAAGGCAAATATTGCAAACCTTTGGACCTGTGTTTCCTTCCCCTGTGCCCAGACTGTCACTGGGCGTGTGGCTGGAGGCCTGGTGGACTGTCCACGGGGAAAACCAGAGACTGTCCCCAGACCCCACGGGCCCCCACGCCACCCCTGCCACCCGCAGTGGACACCAGCTCCTCCCTCTGGGCCTCCTGATGAACTTCTTCAGCTGAGATACAGCTGTGCTGGGCTGCAGGAATTCAGGGTCAGACCTGTCCTGGGGAGCAGCACTGTGCAATTGCTGCATCAGTGGGCAACCTGCTCTGCAGCTCCTGGTTTGTGCTCCCACCAGCAGAAACTTTTCATTTTTGGGTGTTGCCAGATTCTCAAGGCATACCCTGAGCCACATGACTTGCTGATGGAAATTGCAGTCCCCCCAGCACCAGTGGTGACCTTAAGGACAAATACAGGTGTGATCCAGCTCACAGCTGCAGCAGAGGTGATGGTGATCCACCCAGGTGATGTCCCTCTGCCTTCTGAATAACGTGTATGAAGGAACAACCCATGCAGAAATTCCTTCCATAGTTTCCCCTCACCACAGGGCAGATTCCCCACAGATGGGAAACGCAGTTTCGCTGGTCTGCAGCCTGGTCAGAGGCTGGAGGAGCCACCCCAGCCCTGACCTCTTTGTTTGACCACAGAACACCTTGAGGAGACAGGAGCTGCACATAGAGGGGATGGAGTTTGGGGCTGAGACCTGGGAATAAGTTCAGCAGTGACCCCCCCTCCTGTGGCACTGTGCTGGGCTGGTTTGTGTCCCACAGGTGTGCTGGGAGAGGGGGTTCCCCTCCCTAAGCTGCTGAAAATTGATTTCCCTTTCCTGAGGATCCTGTGTGTCTCTCTACACCCAACATGGCACAACAGCAGCTTGGAGTTATCCTTGTAAATGTTGCATCCTGCCTGCATTCTTGAGCAGAAGGAGGACACGTGTGTTTTCCATGGAACATTGTGTTTCGAGCTCTTTTGTGGGTGCTCGGAAGGGTGTGGGTGTACTTTGCATTCTTGTGCTCAGGTTCAATAAAGTCCAGCCTTCTCTGCAGCCACAGCAGGTGCTCGAGCCTCTGGGGGTGGCCAGCTCTGGTGAAACCCCTGGGCTCAGGGCAGACCTCAGGTGGGAGGGCTGCAGTCCCCTTTGTCACCCCCAGCTCAGTCCCCTTTGTCACCCCCAGCTCAGGGGGTGCAGAGCTCTGCCAGAAAATGCTGTGTCAGACCCAAACATGTCAGACTCCTCAGGGCCTGGGCCCTAAGCTGTGGGGTATCTTGATCATGTTGGCACCCATCACACCCTCACCTGCCCTGGACGTTACTGGGCCTTTGTCCTGGGTGCACTTAGGGACCTGGGGGGAAAATCACCCAGCAATGCCCATGAACTCTACATGAACCACATGAAGCTTTTGCTAATTTAAGGCTCTAAAGCCACCCATTGCTCCTGGGGTGAGAGGGAGTAGCTGGGACAGCTGCAGCATCACTGCTTGTCCAGCCCAGATCCACCCTGAAACACACCTGGAACATCAGAATCAGGTTTTTCTGACATCTTTGATGTTCCTTTTCCTTTCCCCTCTATTTATTTCCATGTTTTCTTTTATCTGGTGTCTCTCAAGCCTCCTTTAAACTGTGGAGCTCTTTCTTGGACTCACAGCCAGCTTCTGCTTGCCTGTAGGGCACAGGCACTTTTCTCAGAGCAGATGCTGCACCACAAACCCACACTCTCTTTCGTTTGTTTTGCAATTTGTGAGGTTTCTGTATGTAATTAACTCATTGGGAGGTAATTGCTCACCTCTCACTCTCCTTGGACTCATTCTGCTGCATATGATGGTGCAGAGCTGTGCTGAACCAGCCCTGGGACACTCCCCAGAGCGGGTGGGCACCACGGCCAGGGTGAGGAGTGAGCTGCTGGCCAAACAACGTGTGGTGTTCAGGGGCAGGCTGGTGCAGGGGTCACACTTCACAGCCAGCAAAAGGGAACTGTCCCTGCTCCATCCTTCCCTTGGCTTTCCTCATTCCTGCAGCTCGGGTTATAAAAGCAGCTGCCAGCAGCCGTGACCATGGGCAGCTCCACCTCGACATCAAAGGGTCCAGGTAAGTGGCACTGAAGGACCTTGGCCACCGTGCCAGCTCCATCAGGCGACCTACAGCACAGAAAAACTCAGCTTGAAAAGCAGGAATTTTAATGATGCTTTCCTTTGATTTCTGTAGCAGCATTTAATCATTTATGAAAATTAATTTTTAAAGCTAGCAGAGCTCTTGCTTGTTAAATTCCACGTTTATTCCTGTTGTTGTTAAGTTTGTGATAATGACTAAGCTGGCAGAAAGGACTGGGAGTTTTTTCATGATCTTGGTGACCAGAATTCAGAGCAATTTTCAGCTCTCCAGACCTCATCTCAGCTGGTGTAAAATAAGTGTTTATCTGCAAAGCCAGACGTGCCTTTTGCATGTGCAAGACGCTTGGCTCACTGAAACGTGCATGACCGAGGAGCAGCACCCTGGTAGATATTGTTAATAACTGCAGAGATAGGTGCCTGCATGGTCACGTATTCTCTAAGAGCTCTTCTAAGAGCCCTGACATCCATTCTGGTACCCTTTTGCAATGCTGCACACGTCTTTCAGAGCCCCTCCAACAAATCCCACTGATTTTATTTGACACGATTTTCAATAGAAGCTGCTCGAGTCTCTCTCCTTCTCCCCTGTTCAATAATCACAGCTACAGGAGCTGTGCATCATTACGTGCTGATCAAAGGGAAAATGTAAAAGACAGTCGAGTGAATTAAAGTCTAATTTAATTGTGCTGAGAACTGTCATAGAGGGATTTTTTTAAGGTATCTGGAAGAGATAAAGGAGTTGTTCAGTCTGACCTAAATAATGTTATTTCTCAGTGCTGAACCTCTGCAATCTGCACCCTGTACATTGTTTTTCTCAGAAGGGACAAGCTGAGGTGTCTGTTCAGGACACGGGCTGTCCAGGAAAATGCTCCTAGAGCTGGGACCCCTGGCAGTGCTGCAAAGAGACCATTTTCTCATTTCTTTGCAAACACCTTTCCATGCATAAACAAACACTCCCCAGCCTGAGCTGTCACCCTGAGAAGCCCAGCTCGGGCAGGAACGGAAGGTCCTTGAAGGTACTTTCTTTTGGCTGGGGGTAGATCAAACACAGGGAAAAGAGACTCTTTTCACAGCTTGAGTGGAGCAAGATGAGAAAAACAAACAACCTGCCCACGGGAAAGTGAGTCTGATTCTGGCCATGCTTTGAGCTTTAATAACACAGGGTGCTCTTCACAGCAGGCAGAAGGACACGACTGTGACACTCGTCATTTTTTATTTGGCTGTGCACCTGCGAGTGTTCCTCTTTCAGGGCCATTTCAGAGTGGTTGGAAGCCATCTGTCTCTCTCAGTACAAGGTCCTCCTGCCTCATCTCCATCCCTCTTCCTGTCTTAAAATGGCATTTTCACTTCCCTGCAGTGTCAGGCACCCAGCTCTGCAGGGGGGGAGCACAGTCAGGCATGGAGCCATCGATGGCTCTGGAGCAGTGTGGCACTGGGCTTCAGCTGCTCCCTGGCAACCTGAAGTGGGAAAAGGGGGCTGCAGGTCTGGGCTGACCTCCTGGGATGAGTGGCATGGTGTCTGGAGGCTGTATGTCCAGGAGGAAGCTCCCCACCAGCCCAGAGCAATGCACATGAAGGATGGAGAGCTGCACCAGTGCCCAGGCTGTCAATACCCATGTGAAACTGGTGCTTGGGCTGATGTGGGTCTTCACACAGGTGCTGTGCCAGGACATGCCACCCTTCTGGTGTCTCATCTTTCTTGGGGGCCTCCTGCCCTCCTCCCAGGGCCTCCTCAACCTGCTGAACCCAGCACAACCCAGCGGTGGTGAGTTCAGATATTTTCTGTGTTTCCAGGGGAGAGTCACTGCAGAGTTCTGTGCCATTTCGAGCTCATGGCACATCCCTCTGCTCATCAGGGAGCTGCCTCCTGGCAGGCCCGTCTCCATGAGGAACCCAGCTTTGTTCAAGGATGCTCAGGGCTCCCTGGGAGAGCTCACCAGCAGGGCACCCTGAGGTGGCCAAACCAACCTTCCCTGTCAATGAAATCCTCCCAAGAGTGGAAATCCAGTCAGTAACTGGGACTCTCTTGGTGCAGGCCTGCTTGGCACTGGTCTCATTGGTGGAAAAAGTGGGTTGCCTGGCACAGATGCTCTTGGTGAAGGAGGGCTGCTTGGCACTGGCCTCCTGGGCAAAGGAAGTCCCCTTGGTGCAGGAAATGAACCCAGCGCAGCTGCAGTCCTTGGCACAGGCCTCCTAGGTGAGAAAACCTGGCACAGGGAGGGTTTGGGAGAGGAGGGTTTGTGGGTGGTAGAGGACAGGAGAGTAAGGAAGTCCTGGCTGTTGCAGGAGGACAGCCTGGCAGCAGTGGGCTGCTCGGCACAGGAATCCTTGGTGGAGAAGGACTTGGCACAGGAATCCTTGGTGGAGAAGGACTTGGCACAGGAATCCTTGGTGGAGAAGGACTTGGCACAGGAATCCTTGGTGGGAAAGGCCTTGCAACAGGCCTCCTTGGTGGGGAAGGACTTGGCAATGGTCTCCTCAACAATGGTCTCCTTGGCAATGGCCTCCTTGGCAATAACAGCCTTCTTGGAGAGGCAGGTCTGCTTGGCACAGGGCTGCTTGGAAAAGGAGGTCTCCTAGGCAATGGAAGTCTGCTTGGACTTGATGGTCTTCTGGGTGAAGCAGGAGGACTGCTGGGTGCAGCAGGAGGACTGTTGGGTGGCGGAGCCCCCCAGAAGATGACACGCTACGCCTGGTGAGTCAGAAGCCCCGTGGTGGGGCTCCCTGCAGGGTGGCCCATGATATCCAGGGGATCAGACCCTCCCTCTCATACAAACCACGAGTCCTGGGCTCACAGCTCACATGAGAATCTGAGACAGGGGAAATTCCAACCAGGAATGGGAAAATTACCTGTGGGAGTGGTGTGACACTGCCATGGGCCACAGAGAAGGTGGGGCAATCTCCACCCATGGAGATGGCTGAGACTCAGGAGGACACAGCCTTGAGAAACCTGACCATGCTTTAAGATTGGCTGTTTGCAGAGTGGGAATTGGTCCTTCCCCTCCTTCGCTTTTACCTGGGAATATCCACAGGTCAAATGATGAGCAGGAAGAGGTGGGACTGTAGGATCTGCTCCTGCTGATCCTGCCATCTCAGGGTGGGTTTGCCTTGGTGTCAACCCCCAGGCTGAAGGTGCTGAACCTCGAGAACGCCCGAGTGTCATGGAAGGTCTTTCGTGGTTCTGAGCTTGTGCTGAACCTGTACTCGAAGCTGGTGCTCCGCTTTCCAGGGTGAGTGAGGCTAGAGAGTGAGGCCATGGGGACCTGAGGGTGCTGGGGAGGGTGGGACACTCCTGGGTGCTGGACAAACATCCCCAAACACTGAGCAACAGGCAGGTGAGGAAAGCTGTGCTGCTGACTCCCGTTAGAACCATTTCCAGCTGTCCTCACTCCACAGACGCTCACCATCCATGGAAGTGTTCAAAAAACTTCTGGATATGGCTGTTGAGGTCATGGTTTAGTGAACATGGCTGTGCTGCTGGGTTGATAATTGGGCTTCTTGATCTTAGGGGGAAATTCCAGCCTGAACAATTCTATGGTTCTGTGATCTGCTACAGGACAAGGAGCCTGAGGGCAGCCCCAGACCTGAAGCACTGTCCCAGCCGAGGCTGTGCTTGCAGCTCAACCACAGGCACCAGTCTCCAGTGCTGCTTTGGCTTCCTCCATAACCTTCCACGCCACTCCCTCTTTTCCAGGATTTTTCAGTTTCTGAGTGGATCCTCAGTAGAAGCAAACATCACATCACACATTGCCCTGACCCAGGACTCCCCTGGTGACCTCAAGTTGGTGCTTAAGGATTGCAGCAACCTCCTTGGTGGCTTCAGTGTCAGCCTGCGGAAAGGGTGAGCGTGGGGGTCAGGGGGGCAGAACTTCAGTCTCAAATCTGGGTACGGATTGACAGCACAACAAGCAGATTTTGGGATTCAGATAACAAAGTCCTGAGCATCTGTAATTCCTGCTGAAGCCTGGGGGAGCTCTGGGCTTGCAGCATCTCTTATCAGAGAAGAGGAGGGGGCTCCTCTACAGAGGAGCTTAGTTCTTTCTTGATGTCAAGTCCTGGGTTTTGACAACTTCCCTGGTAGCTTTTGTCTGTCTTTTCCCTCCCCAGTCTCCTCACAAATCTGGTGAGCAGCTTGCTGAACAAGTCTCTTAAGTCCCTTGTCCCTGCACTGGTGAGTGTCTGAATATTCTTTGCTGTGAAGCTGAATTTCAGCTGCAGTCAGTGCTCCTGCCAGAACTGCCTGGTAGATTTACACACACACACACAATCACAGAACAGTTTGGATTGGAAAGGACCTCAAAGGTTAGTTAGTTCCAATCCCCCTGCCCTTGGCAGGGACAATATATATTATATATCTAAATATATATATATATATACACACACATACATACAGAGTATGTATTTGTGCATGCAGAGATACATGCCTGCAGCCCATAAGTGAGTTACACAAAATTGCTTGATCTTCTTTACAGTCAGAATTTATTTGCTAGGAGTAATTTCAATTTCAACATGTGATATTATCAGGTAATTTTTACTCAGCTGCTCCCTGTGGGGGTGAAAAGAAGCAACAGCCCAGTTTAGAGCAAAGTGGCCTTTTTTACCTTGTTCAGTAGAACCTGTGCCATTTTGAGAAGGGGGCTGAACAAATCATACAGCTCTTTTTCCATGGAATAACTATGAGCTAGGATGAAATCAGGATGTGTGTCCCATCCTGATTTAAATCTGTGAAACCCAAGTGGTACTGGGGAACGTGCTGCTGCACCCACTGTGTTCTCACTAAGACTGTGCTGCTTGTTGCCATTGCAGCTCTGCCCAGTAGTGAACATGTGGGTCAGCATCATCAACATTAACCTGCAATTCCTCAACCGTAAGTCATTACATCTTCTTTCCTACATTAAGTTTTAGAATGACCCTTGGTGTTTGTGTGTCTGGCCACCTCCACGGGCAGCAGGTGTCCTCAGGAGAGCTGGAGCTGTGCAAGCAGGGCTCTCTGCATGGGGGTGGCACAGTCCTGGCTCACCACCACTGCCAGACACCACAGTCCTGCTCTTCTTACAGGTGTTTTTCTAACCAGGGCTAGACCCAAGCTGCTGCCAAGAGTTGGCTGTGCCAGGACTGCCAGGTGCAGCCCCACAGAGCCAGAGGGTTTCCCCTCCCCAGCTCTGTCCATGTCAAACCTCACACACAATTGCTGCTTCACTGAAAGCAGATCTGTTGCCCCCAACATTTCCCTTGTGATGGGATCTGCACCTGTGAGCTCCAGGGTAGCAGCTTTCGTGGGAACATTTGAACCCCAGGGAGTTTGTGATCCATAGGGAGGACAAGGAGTTTTTCCTGGCAGGCTGGGCAGGACAGTGCTCTGCCAGCCTCTGCCAGGTGGGCACAGGGCTCCAGCAGGCTCAGTGACCCACACACAGCTGTGCCCAGCCCTGATGGCCTCTCCCTCTCCCCAGGCGTCATCTCCTTGGGGCTTCTGGGGAAAATCTACTCTGCCCTCTCCAAACTGCCAGTGACATCTGAGCACTACGTGGAGCTGGATCTGCAGGTAGAGCCATGTCCCATCCTGTTCTCCATCCCATGCCCCCACACTGCTGCCCTCCCTCCACATTCCCATGCTCTAACACCCCCTTGTTCTTTGCAGAATTCCCCTTTCCCAAGCACCTTCATCGACTGGCTCCTTCAGAGTAAGTCCAGCCCCAGTGCTGCTGTGGGATCCCCACTGGTGTCTGTGAGCCAGAACAGGGCAGCTGAAATGGGGGACACAGTCCTGGGGAGTGGCCTAGAGTGGGGAGGGTCCTTGTGGCTCTGGGGTGCAGCCAGAGCTGCCAGGGGCAGTGCATCTCTGAACAGTCCCACAGAGCACTTGTACCTCTCAGGGCACAGCAGTGCTGGGGGTGGTTGGGGTCCCTGGTCCTCAGAGACGGCCCCCAGCTCAGATGTGAGCAGCTTTGCCCCTGTGCAGTGGCAGGTCTGGAATACAGTAGCAAGAGAAAGTCTGTGCACTCCTACTTGTGCCCTGCACAGCCCTGGAAAAGTCACTTCCCTTGCTGGGCAGGACAGTGCTCTCCCAGCCTCTGCCAGGTGGGCACAGGGCTCCAGCAGGCTCAGTGACCCACACACAGCTGTGCCCAGCCCTGATGGCCTCTCCCTCTCCCCAGGCGTCATCTCCTTGGGGCTTCTGGGGAAAATCTACTCTGCCCTCTCCAAACTGCCAGTGACATCTGAGCACTACGTGGAGCTGGATCTGCAGGTAGAGCCATGTCCCATCCTGTTCTCCATCCCATGCCCCCACACTGCTGCCCTCCCTCCACATTCCCATGCTCTAACACCCCCTTGTTCTTTGCAGAATTCCCCTTTCCCAAGCACCTTCATCGACTGGCTCCTTCAGAGTAAGTCCAGCCCCAGTGCTGCCGTGGGATCCCCACTGGTCTCTGTGAGCCAGAACAGGGCAGCTGAAATGGGGGACACAGTCCTGGGGAGTGGCCTAGAGTGGGGAGGGTCCTTGTGGCTCTGGGGTGCAGCCAGAGCTGCCAGGGGCAGTGCATCTCTGAACAGTCCCACAGAGCACTTGTACCTCTCAGCAGTGCTGGGGGTGGTTGGGGGTCCCTGGTCCTCAGAGACGGCCCCCAGCTCAGATGTGAGCAGCTTTGCCCCTGTGCAGTGGCAGGTCTGGAATACAGTAGCAAGAGAAAGTCTGTGCACTCCTACTTGTGCCCTGCACAGCCCTGGAAAAGTCACTTCACCTCTTATAAAAGGATTTAATAATATTTGCTTAATAAGAGTGAATAATGGTCCTCAGGATGCTGCAAGGATTAATTAATATTTGCAGAGGTGATTGGAAGAGCTTTCAGCTTCATATGCATGGAAAGTTAATATATAGGGAAGGGAAGGAAGAGTTGGAAGTCTTCCCAGCTTCCCCAGAGCCGTATTCCTGAGGGCACTAAATCATCTCAGCCCATAAAGCTGGGGCCTCTCAGGCCACTGGTACTTCAGGCACTGCTGAGCCTGTTCCCGTGCTGGGGGACACCAGGGACTGTCAGGCTTTGGGCACCTGGAGAAGGGCGTGCACTGACCTGGCTGTGTCTCCCCCAGCTGCAGGTGTCAATCCCAGGATCAATCCATAGCTGCAGGACTGACAGAGCCCTGGGGTAAGGAGGACTGGCTGGCTGGGCCTGGCTCAGAGCTCTGCTGCCAATTGTGCCAGAACCTGGGCTGGGCGAGAAGAGTCCGGACCCTGCTGCCTGGTAGTGGGAGGTGACAGGGGTAGCACGGGGCTGCCTAAAAAGCTCCACTCTGGTATCCCTCCAGGTCCCCCTGCAGGTGATTCTCAAGGAGGAGCAGGAGGGAAGGGAGGAAAACAACTCAGTAGGTGGAGAATAGACATGAAAATGGAGAAACCCAACCAAGAAAAGTCTTTCTTCTATTCTACATTTCAGCCTTCTCAGATTTTGGTGTCTCTGTCCAGCCTAGAGTTATCTGTGCCAATGATAATCTGTGCCAATAGCGATATGTCGATAATTAGCCACACTGATAATTAGCTACATCAGTGATCAGCCATGTTGATGACACTGTGACTGGAGGCAGGAGCCCCTCTGTGTTCCTCCTGGTGTCCCTCCTGTCATGGCCACAAACCACTTGTTCTGGCGCTCACTGATGCAGGGATGACCTGGATCCCCTGGTTTTCCCTCACGCCCCTCCCAGCTTCACTTGGGCTGGGGTTTAGGCCAGGAATAGCTCAGCACAGAGGGGACATTCCAGGTGCTGGATGCAGACCGTCAGGCAGGGCTTTGGTTCCCTCAGGAATTTCAGGAGACTGCACCAACTGCCCAAATCCTTCTGAGAAGGGAAGAGAGAAAAGGGATGAATTCAGTGAGCTGTAAACACTTTGTCTTTGCTCTCCTTCTGCTTCTTGATTGGCTTACTATTTCAAAAGGGATTTTTGCTGTTTCCAGTGATTTCATACTGTTAAAAAGAGGCAAAAAAGCCCCCAGCCTAATCCAGGCGCACACTCAGCCTATTTGTTCCCAAACAGCAACGCTTTGAACTGATCAGAGTGAATGCTATCCTGCCTTGTAATCTCCAAGTGGATTTGGACGTGCTGCATTGTGGGTGAGGTGGATTTGAGGCAGATTCACACCCTTCTGTTACTCCTTACAATAAAAATGATTTTTCTTCATCTGCATTCAGCACGTGACTTGGTTCCTTTCCAAACTGCCAAAGGATTTTTGCATTTGCAAGGGTTTTGTTATTTATCTCTCCCATCAGCTACAGGAGTAACTCACATGTGAGGAATATTGAATAGGTGAGTCTGCTGGAAAGGTGGGGAACCACAGGGGCTGCAGCCCCAGAGCCAGGCCTGAGTGAAGCCCAAACCCTGCCCAGGCTGCTGGACCCCCACTCTTACAGTTTAAAGTAGCTACAGAAACATGGTCAATGTGGCAAATAAATATTCCCCTCATTTGTATTTATGCAGATTTATTCTGCCCCTGTCCCTGAGCTGCTGGTTCTTTTAGTGTGTATTCCTGGTCCTGCCTGTTGCCAGTGAGCTGGGGGCTGTTTGACATGGACAAACACATCCCTGGGGCCCCAGGGAGACAGCTCCCCCCTAGGCTGGGCTGGGACCCCCAGGACCCCAGGGAGAGCAGTGGCAGTATCCAGCAAGCTCTTGGGCACAGGAGCTTGCTCCTGGCTGCATTGGCATTAAAACCCCATGCCAGTGCTGGCTGTGCCACAGCCCTGGAGCTGAATGGCTGCATGGTGAGAGGGGCCAGGGACAGATGCCCAAGCCCTGCAGCCTCCAGATCCACTGGCACAGTACCATGTGCCACCAGCCATTTCCACATTGGCTCTTCTGGGCATTCCTGGTGGGCAGCACCCACACCCTTCTCTGCCTCTGTCCAGCGTGGGTCTCTCTGCTCCTGCCTAGGGCCCCAGAGCCCCATCCAACAGGCACAGGGGAGTTCTGGTGCTGTTAGCTGAGAGTTTGCAGCCAGCATCCTCCTGGTACCACGCTGCCAGGGCCAGGGATCCTGCTCACATCTTCTGGGTAGCAAAATGCTCCCTTGAAAACCTTGGAGGTTCTCACTGCCCTTTTCCCAAGGTAATGGGGTGGCTGATGTGTCACCAGTGCCACAGGACCACAGCCCAGCCTCTCCTGCTGCTCCTTCAGTCCCTTTGCCTCACTATTGTGAGTGAGCAGTACCCCAAGCATCCAATGCCACCGTGCCCTGCCAATGAATGGCAGAGGTAACAATGCTAATGAGATGTGGGCACTGGGCACGTCTGGGCTGCACCCAGAGCACCTCGCTCTGGCTGCAGTCACACCCACACCGGGGGGCTCAGGGAATGGATCTTGGTGCTGATGATCTGTGTGTGCTCAGAGTGTGAAGATGAAGGGCAGATGCTGGGTGCCCTTTGATGACAGTGGCAGAGCTCTGTCACACGAGGACAGGATGGGTGGCAGTGTTTGGCCCAAGCTATTGAATCCGTAACGCCTCATTGGGCACCTTCAGTTTCCAGTTCCTAAGGAAACAGGAGGAGGAGGATAAAGGAACGTGCCAAGCCCCCTTCTAGGCTCACTTGCTGTGAATGATTGCAAAAATAGGTGTAAATATTTCCTCAGTAACCCTAGAGCCAAAATGCCAAACCCCAAACCTCTCCAAGTGACACAGTGCCACCAGGCTGGGTCCCACCTCTGCTGCCAGAGAGGCAAAGGTGGGCAGCCACCGGCCACTGTGAGCCCTGTGGGGACAGCAGCAGCACCTGCACTGCTCTGACCCACCAATATGAGTAACAACAATGCCATGGGGGATGTCCCTGCTGCTGGCACCACCCAGCCCCAGTGTGCCAGGACAGGTGACCCTGGAACAGCTCAGATCTTTGCCAGATCTGGCTGCAAGGGCACTGATGGAGTTTCTCCTGAGGTTCCTCTCACCCTACTGGGTTGCCTTGTGGAGTGTGGTCTGAGCCTCTCCCAGGTTTCTGCACCCAGTGACACCTGTCTGCTGTGCAGAGCATCCCAGGGGTACTGTCAGCATTGCCGCTGCTGTGCTGGCTGCTGAGCATGGGATAGGGAAAGCTTTGCCACCAACACTGTAAGGGATTTTCAAAATGGAGTTTGGATAAGAAGAATCTTCTTCTTTGATAAGAAGATTCTTCTTTGCAGAAGAATCTTCCCCTTTAATGAAATGTCAGAATGTTTTCCATTTTTAATGGAAAGCTGGTTGTGGAACTGCCTCCTGTTTGGTTCTAATAGCTTCAAACAAAGCCTCCTACTATTCATTTTTTAAACTTCCTGTAGTTAAATTACAGAAAGACCACATTAAAAAAAAAAAAAAAAAAAAAAAAAAAAGAAGGAACAGATTAAAAGACACTAAATAACCCAAAGAGAAGGGAGCACCTTGTTTAGGCTCAAAACCCCATAATCAGCCTGACCAAAAGTGAATCTCATTTCTGTTCCCCTCACTGTCCTGATGGATGCAGGAAGGGGAGGAGGACAATCTTTTCTGGCTGTTCATTTTCACAGCAGTGTGCTGAATATTAATCACTCTCAAACCCTTGCTGGAGGCACTGCTGCAAATTGCCCATCCTGCAGCCACTCTGTAATTCCTACATGGGAGTCACAGCCAGGACGGGCGAGGGATCCCACAATGGCCTCACTCTGTAAGGGGCAAACACACCCCCAGCAGTGTCCCTGACAGCTCCATTAGCCATGCCACTGTGCATCAGGCAGTTGTCATCCCTGGGTTTGCTCTCCAGGAATTAAGACACCTTTCTCCTCCTCCTTAATGCAAGAAGTAAATGTAGGGCAGCGAGGTTGAGATTTGGGTGTTTTCAACACTGATGGACTTTGCTTTTGACACCCTTGGAGACATAATCAGAAAGCCCTGCCTTGTCCTTGTGCTGACAGCCCTCCCTATCCTCAGGCTGGCCACCCTGCCTGTCCCCAGGCTGGCAGTACTTCCAGCTCCACATTCCTGGTGGCAGTGGCAGCTGCCCCAGACTGGCTGCTGGGGAAGGTGGCTTGGGCCCAGCAGGAAGAGGGACCCTGGGCAGGGCCCCCTTGAAATAATGTGAAATAATTCCCTTTCACATTTCCTAGTGGCAGCTCTGCTGAAGGGGAAGAGCCCCTGCCAGGCACACAAAGCACAGAAAGCAGTCCTCTGTTTTTCACAGATACAGCTGTCCAAAGGAATTGCAGCACCTTCGCCTCACAGGAGGCATTTTAATTACTCTATTGACTCCTGCTCCTGAGAGCCCCAGGCGTGTCAGAGCTCAGGCTGGGATCAGAGGGATGCAGAGAGACAGGGAGGGAATGCATGACCATCCCTGACAGCCCAGTGGAGCCCCACTGCCACCCCATCACAGTCCCAGTGCCCTGCCCTGCACAGCAAGGAGTGCTGGGCCATTCCTCGCTGTCTCTGACCAGCATCACACCATTTTCATGTCTCTGATCCGTGTCTGACTGTTAAATAACTCAGCAGCAGGGAAAAAAATACTTGAAAAAATATCTGGAAGATATAGAGCCATTAATGAAAAACATCAGAAAATAGATATCAAGTAATGACACCACGATGAGAGCTTATTAATAGGAAAGGCTAAAGATAAAACTAATTTAAACCTGATGAGACAAGACATCTCATCTTCAGGAGAATGAGAAGTCAATAGTTGTCTGTCAGTAAAGGAAATAAATTGCTCACAAGGGAGGAGGGAAAGCCACAGGACTGCTGGGCCCCAGAGAGCAGCAGTGCCTGTGACAGACTGTGAGATACCCTCTGAATTCACAAACCCCACAGCTCGGAGCTGCCACTCACCACCTGTCATTGCCATGCAGGTCACAGCCCAGCAGCGCTCCGGGGAGGCACAGGGACATGGAGGGAGGCTGGGGACAGACAATGCCAACCTGGGGGGGCTGCAGAGCAGCTTGGGGCTGGTTTGGGGGTGCAGCAAGCAACGGCAATGGAGAGCTCATTGCATTTCCAGCACAGCACAGAGTTCACCATCGGCTGCAGAGGAGCCTGCAGGAGCAGCTGTACCTGCCCTGCCAGAACCCAACCACTGCCAGTTTCAGAAAGGAGTGAACAGTTGAACTGGTTTTAGAAGTGGAAAACAGTTTGGAAAGCTCTTTATGTTGCATTAAATCCCAAAGCTCTGTGCAAAGAGCTGGCTTCAGAAACGGTGATGAAAAACTGCTGAAGGAAAACTCCCTGCATCCCCAGCCCACAGCAGTCCCAGAGCAGGGAGAAGGAGAAGGCCTGGGGGAATGGCTGGCAGGCACATGGAGCCTGTCTGCTGAAGTGAAAAGCCATGAGAAAAGAGGAGGAAGGCATTTCCCCTGGCACAGCCTGGCAGGCTCCAGCTGGCATCTCTCAGAGGCAATGCCTTGTCACCTGCCATCCCCCAGCAGAGCCAGGCTCCAGCTGACCTAAAGCAAACTGTGCTTACAGGCTTCCATCAGGGAAAACGTCCATCCTTCCCTCCACCAGCACCATGACGTGCAGAGGGAACACAGACTGCAGAGCTCAAGGGGTTCTGGAGGAGGATGTGATACACCACGGCCAGCTCTGGCACTGGGAAAAGCCTGACTGCTCTGCCCAAGCTGCTTCAAAAGTCTTGGAGAAGGGAGCAAATTTGGGCAGGTGAGTGTAGGCAGTGATGGGAATCAATTTTGAGGCTGTCCTTAGGCCAACAAAAGCCAGAGCTGAGCAGGGGCTGTGAGCACCTACTGCTGTCTGTCCCTCCACTCCCTGAGCACAGCCAAGACCTGAGGACAAACAAGTTTGTTCTCTGATGGGGGCCAGGGGAACAAACGGGCTCTTGTTCTCCCTGACAGCAACCTTTCTGCCAGGTGAAGCTATTTGTGCGTGCTGGTGATGTCCAGCCCCACCCACACCCTGCCAGCAGAAAGGAAAGTGCAGGCTGTGATTTACGAAATTCAGGTGTCAGGAGACACCCTCAGGGCACGGCTGCTGTTGGAAAGTAAATGTCATCCCAGCACTTCAGGTCTGTACTGGGAAACCTGATCTGCCAAAAGCCTCCTTAGGTGTTTGCCCATGGGTGTAACTGGGGCAGGACTGACTGTAAGGGCACAACTTGGACCTGCAGAAGGCACAGGTGTACATCAGGGAGATGGGAGGTCCGGCAGGGTTCAGGGCTCTCGTCCCTGCTCCG